ATATCCCCTTGCATTCCACCCCGACACCTGTGCATTAATCATATCATAACTTACATCCAGCTTTTTACGGCAATGTTTCGAGTTGTTTCGTCATGTGCGTTTAGGCTGCGAACGCGACGCTTCACCATTTCATGAACGCATCAACAGCATTCAAATTCAATGGCATGATTTGTAAGTAACATATTCCGACGCAAACTATTTATTTTATGCATGAGTGCGAGAAGGGATTTTATAGTAGCTGAGACGTTACAAGTTTGGCGCTTCCACCTCCTCCTTACCCAGGCCCAACAACTCTGCTATCTGTAACAGCCCTTGCAAGTACTTCTGCCAATTGGGTGTATGTATGTACGCTAGAACTTTTTTTCGCAAACCGTACGTCGCCAACTGTGCTGATCGAGGGGTGCGGAAATCGGAGGTGTGTAAGCAATGCTGCCCCATACCGATGATGATGATGCTGCCTAACAGAGGTGAAACGGGAATACTTTAATCAGGCGGAGCAGCCGAGCTAAACTGTACTAGTGATCTCTAGTAGTGGTGAGACGTGTACATGGCAGGGTTTCCACCTGCCTTAGTGTTCGCAGGATTTTGTAACCCTTGTCGAGGAGGCAGCTGTAATGGCATCTCTTGCCGTGTCTTCCCCAGGACATTAAAAGTCCCAAGTCTTTTTTGGTTGTTCGATTGTGCAAGAGTGACAACAATAATCCACAGTGCATGCACATGCAGTTATTCACCCTCTTGCGGTATACGGAGATATTCATCTCCACATGATACCACGGTCATCACTGTGATTTGTTGACAGAGTGTAAGAAGGCAGCACTTGGAGTATTGATAGTTTAGGCCAGTCGAGCGCTCACGAGGATGCAGTGCCTATTTTGCCAAGGGGGGGGGGGGGCATATGCTTGGTGCTGATAATTTTTCCCACGGTGCTTTGCAGGCAAAATTGTACAATGTGCCGCATATGCATCTCGCTGGAGACTGAGGCCTATATACGGATATGTGAAAAGGTTGAATATATGTGAAAAGGTATAGAACATGTGTGGAATATGACTGCTACAGCATGCACAAATACTATCATGGGTGTGGGCCGTAAATTGGTCAGGGTGAAATGTAACGGTCGGATATGCGATGTCTCGCAATATATCTTCCGGTGTTAAATTATGATATTCGTCCATCATAGAAGTTTTTTGGGTTAGATCGCGTAAATAAATAAACGTGTCGTTAAAACCCGCCACCACCCGACACAGCCAACTAGTAAAGGTTTGTCACGTAAGCAGAACGTGGCCAATTCGTCACTAGTACAGCACTAACCGGTGTGTTGGAGAGCCAAGCCACAACATTTACAACTTGAGTACGACGTTTCGCCAGTAATTACAACTAGCTTCATCAGGCGACAGCCAGATCTAACCCCCCAAAAAAAACCTCTTATGGATGACATTGGTCGCGAAAGCCTACGTGTTAAATTATGATATTCATATGTATATGTGCTATGTGTAGAGCAAAACGTATGTTTTTTTTTTTCTGTCTGTAAGAGAAGGTAACCACTGTTTACACGATCCTGCACTCGTACAGCTTTATCCAAGAAGCAACCAAACTCGGAGCAGGGATCGTTGTTCAACTGCGGCCAGGCCAAGTTTCACACTGTCAAAGCTTCCACGTTCTCCACAGCTCTTGTGTAAACCTTGGGCAAATTGGCAGCCGAAGAGGCATTTCAAGACGTGGATATTGTTTCAATGGATTTGAGGTGTGAGACACAGTCGGTTTGCAATAGGATACGTGGTTATCAGGTTATAGTTTGAGTTCAGAGATTTTTTGTTGTTGTTGTTTTCAAATAAAAATGCGATGCATGAGATTCACACTTTGGTCATTGCAGACTTATTTACGCACGTTGAACTTCTTTCGCACCGTATGCAGGCAACCACGCTAATCGGAGGTACGGAGGTAAGGGCAACAAACTAAACACGAAAAGATTTCCCAAGAAATCAGTTTTAAATCTAGATTTAAGAGTGCACAGCTCCAGTGGCATTCTAATATCGGAAGGAAGAGCGTTCCAGACGGCCGCAGAAGCGCATCTGAAAGCGCGCGATGCGGTGACCGTCTTTGTTTGATGGCCACCCACAAGCTGCTGCTGCTGCTGCGATAATGACCAGAGTTTGCGTGATGATGGTTCATGCATCCTTGATGCGGTTCTTTTGTGGCAAGCACTTTGCGTGCGGTGAGTGCGACCTCGTAACTGGCAGTCACCGGCACGGAAAGCCAAAGCCTGAAAAGGAAAATCACCGGTGGTGCACAGCGGTGTTGGCGCATCGGGGTTGGTGGAGAGGTGGTGGTGGACTCCCACCCCCCACCACCACCACCAAGTGGGGGCCTCAGCATGCATTGGGTGCAAGCCGTACAAGCGACATCGCTTAATTGTTCTATCAATTAGGTGAAATTAGTTAAGCAAGTTTATTTTTATAATGACGAGCTTTGCTTTTCTTTTTAATGTGTATAAAGACCCGAAATTCGAGCTGACATTTTGACGCACCCGTATATTTCCATGAATCTGAGGCCCCCTTGGGCTGTTTGGGGCCCCTAGGCTTTTGCTTTGATTTGCTTGGGGCCTAGCGGCAGCCATTTCACCGACAGGCAGTTGTGACAGGGCTTGTGTGGAGTTGAGGTTTTGGACTGTTGCAATTGGTGAGGATTAACATGACAGTTCTCATTCGTTAACATTGTTCATGAAGTTTATTAAGTTATTGATTTTTGTATTCTTTACTTGAAACTGTGCTGACTGTGGATTCAAAACAAAAACAAACATATGATGGAGATCTAAAAGACATGAAATAATTTTGTTGTAAAGTTTTTTTTTATAAGGAAAAATAAAGATATGTATCTGTAAGCACACGGTTTTCCATTACATTTGCAATAACATTCAAAGGTACGACTGTTTGTGCGGTTAGCACACACACAAATGCAAATCCAGTGACCTAAGTTCACTCCCCGCTCAGGGCCAACACCACTGACAACTATCTGAACTGATCGTGGGCCTCCCCTAAGTCGACTCAACCTTAAATGAGTACCTGCTGCAGGGTCCAAACATCAACCCTGGGCACACCACTCCCCTCTTGCGCCTTGCACGCCTTAATAGGTGCTCGCTAACAACACTTGATCCAACAACCCGTGTAGGCTACACAGGGGATCTTTGTGTACCACGATGCGATGAATCGTCACGATCACTCATTCCCTATTCATTCAATAAATTCGTCATCATTTTCTGTCAACAATGTCGCTTTCACCCAATCCCTGCATCATCACAGAGTTGCTCCCATTACTTCTTCTCAACTATGCCCATCACCCCCACCTCCGCCATTACATTCACAGACGCGTTGTTGTCGTGCCGTTGTTCATTCTTCGTGAAGTGCCTTGGCTACAAGGTGGCGTCTGGTTTGTCGTCTCGTGTACAGCCATGAACCCCAAGGTACATCTGCATGTACGTTTCAAGCATTGTATTGTACGTTTGTGTTTTTGTGTGTGAGCGTGTGCATGTAAATATTTCCACCTGAGGTGCAAGCTGTGTGTGTGTGTGTTTGAACCGGTCCTGGGCCTCCCCTAGGTCGGCTCAGCCTCAAATGAGCACCTGGTGCGGTGTGCAAATATCGCCACTGGGGAGACAAAGGCGGCCGGGCTTGGTGCTGTCCACCCGCCCGTGCACCGTGTCGGCTGTCATAGGTGCTCGCTAACAGCACTTGCCCCCAACAGTGTGTTAAGACTATACGGGGGCTATTTGTCTTTGCACGTGTGTGTGTGTGTGTTTGAACGAGTTCAAATATATGCCACTGATGTTAGCCGTGGCCAGGAATCGAACTCGGGTGGCTGGGGTACGCGACGCAGTGCGCTAACTACTTACTGCACACCCCTCCCGCCCACGCGACTGTCGCAGTATCATGTACACTACATTTTACTTTCGTGACTGCAGGGATTCATATTCTATGGTTATCTCGGTTAAGTCACGGAGATAGAAAATAAAACGAAAATAATACAAATAAAAAAATATTTTAAAAACTCACGACTTTTCGACCGCAACACAAGCGGCCGTCATCAGGCAGAGAGAGAAAAAAAAAAGGGCCCTTTTTTTTTTCTCGTGAGTTTTGATGACGACCGCTTGTGCTGCGATCGAAACGTCGTTTGAGTTTTTTTGGGGTTTTTCACATTTTCATTATTTTCATTTTATTTCCCGCCTGCGTGACTTTACCGAAAGAACCATAGAATACATTTTAGCGCTTCGCGAGAACCGCCGAGGAAAACGCCACCACACATTCAAGCGGACCGCCTGCCCCAAAGAAGACCCACCGCCCCACGACGCACCACCGCCGGCTGAGCACGTTTCGGCTGTCGTACGCTGCAGAGTTGCCGATGAAATGCGGCGGAGCGTTACGATCCACGCTCACGCACCGCCGCCAAACCGCGGAGCCTTGATGCGTTTGTTGGTTTTGTTTTGCAGAGTAACAAAAAAAAATAAACCTGCGGGTGTTTTCTGCCGGCTCGCGAACTTCACCCCGCGAAACGGGCGGGGGGTGTGGGGGGGGGGTGTGGGTGTGGGGGGGGGGGGGGGGGGGTGGAGCAGCTCGTGAACTGACGCTGACCGAAGGGCGACTGAACAAGCTCGCTCGGGTGCCCGCTCGCGGTCGACAGGCCATTCTTACTCATTGGCCTTTTCGGTGAAGTCACGTATGGAGGCCATTCTTACTCATTGGCCTTTTCGGTGAAGTCACGTATGGAGGCCATTCTTACTCATTGGCCTTTTCGGTGAAGTCACGTATGGAGGCCATTCTTCCGCTGCTGTCGGCCGTCGAGGGACTCGGGAAAGGGGGAGGGGGGGGGAAAAAGATCGGCGGCGCTCGCTCACCTGAGCTCCGCTCGTCCCCGGCCATCGCTGCCCATCTCCGGCGAGGTGGCGGGGGGGGGTGGCGGGCGTGGGTGAGGTGGTGGTAGCGGGGTCGGGGGGGGGGGGGTGAGCTCACCGTCTACGCGTCACGGTGTTCTCCTCGCTGTCGCCGCCCGCCACCGCCATCGGCGAGCCGCCCTGGCTCTCGTCGTGCACCACCTCGATCTGGGCCCAGCGGGCGTTCGACGCGGAGCGTTCACGGGGAGGGAGCAGAAATTGTGCGGAGGGTTTGACACTTTAAAGCTTTCGTGACTGCAATGATTCATCTTCTTTGGTTCTTTCGGTAAAGTCACGTAGAATGAGAATAAAACAATGAATAAATAGTTTTTTTTTAAATTCTGATTCTACGTGACTTTACCGAAAGAACCAAAGAAGGGTTTGACACGTCGACAGTGGACGCGGCCATCACTTCATTGCCCCCTGGGTGGCTCTCCGCAGAGACGTCGAATGAATGACCGTCCCGCACCTCCGATTAGCACGGTCGGCTGCGTACGGTGCGAAATAAGTTCAACGTGCATACGCATTCGTTCTGAAAAAATAAGAACAGGTTTCCACTCTATCTGGCAATAAAACAGGTGTTAAAACACCGAACACATACCTTTCTTGCCTTGCATAATTTTGATACCGGCAAAAAATGTCCCATAGATATACGTACATTCAGTCCGCGCTTTTTCAATGGATGAGGAATAGCAACGCTGCCACGGAACTCTCTCCAGAATTCCTCTCGTGGCCAGCAGGCCTCAACATTGGCACTTTGCTTCCGAACGTACTGCGACGAGCGAAAATACAATTGTCAAAAGATCGAATTGTGGGATGCACAGCCGTTTAATTAGATGGCAAGAGCATCTGCGACGATGGCAGGGAGTTGTGGGCCTGTCCGTCCATCCCACGTTCTCACCTTTGGTGTGCTTTTCATCTTTTTGAGACCTTTCTTTTTGGCCGGGTCCGTCTCAGCGCACGCCTGCTTGTCCACCCCTCTCCTCACGGCACCTTAGAAGGCACAAGCCGTATCGTCATCATCGGCATCACCATTAGGATCATTACAGTCATCGCCGTCACCCTCATTCAGATCATTTTTGTCATCATTTTCAGCATGACCATCGCCATCGTCATCGCCATCAGCATCACCGTACAGGATAACGAGCCAGGAACGCCTCAGTGGGTATCAAGACTCATGTTCGGGAGGCTCCTGCCAAGCGTTCGCAATAACTCACTGACCCGCCCCGACTGGATGTCCGTGAAAAAGAGCGTCATCGCTCATTGGGTGTATCGAGTCAAGTAAATATTCTCATTATGAGTCAGGGGGAGATGTTTCTGCACGTGATCTCAATTGAGAAATCTGCAGGTCATTCGTCAGCATTGGCATGTTTGTCCCAATGCCAGTCACGGTGGCATGGTTTTGTTTCAGCGTTGAGAAGAAACCGGAGAACCCGGATGAAACCCACACAGGAAATGTGGAGAATATACAAACCCCGCACGGAAAGGTGTGCAAGTCGCGATATCGAAACCCAGGCCCTTCTTGCTGTGAGGCGCAGGTGTTACCACTGTGTCAGCATGAACTAACATCGCCGTGACATCATGACTGAGAATCGGAATCTTCATTGAGACTGGAGGAATCCGATGAGCTACGAAGCTGTTTTTGTGAGCTCTTTTCACTACTGTCATCATCATCATCACGTGATCACGTGTGTATTTCTGGGCCCCCTCTGGAGTTCAATCCCCCACCACCCACCCCAAACAAAGATCCCCCGTATAGCCGTATCTTAAAGCTATTTTATATTCGATATTTATTCAATTTTATATACTTCAGCCCCTTGGTGTTAGACTTTTAACCCTTATTATAGTAAGACTTGTTTAAAACTTATTTAAGATTTTAGATTCCTATATGTTGAATGTATGCACCATCCTGCCAAAGTAAATTCCGTGTCGGTGTGAACTTACATGGCGAATAAAACCCATTCTAATTCTGATTCTGATTGGGGCGAGCGCTGTTAGCGAGCAGCACCTATGAAGGCCAGAACGGCACACGGAGGGGGTGGGTGGCCTGCAACCTCGCCCTGCCGCCTTTGTCTCCCAAGTGGCGATGTTTACACACCGCACCAGGTACTCATTTCAGGCTTCATCGAGCTAGAGGAGGGCCGATTCAGATAATCGCCACAGGTGTTGGCTGTGAGCGGGCGAATCGGAACTCGGATTGGCGGGTTCATAGAGCGGCGCAGCAACTGCTGTACGACCGCTCCACAAAGGCAAAGATCCTCCGTATAGCCTCAACAGACTCTTGGGGCAAGTGTTGTTTGTGAGTATCTCCGCACGCACGCACGCACACACGCACGCATGCATCGTCACTGAAAGCCATCCCGTGTGTGTGCTGGGCGGTGATGAGATGCAAACACGACAAATATGCTCATATGTTTACCCTGCAAAGGACCACCGACTCTCAATACTATTTCGAGGGACACTGCATAGGGATGTTTGGCCAATTTAATTCGTTTTTGTTGGTATGTGTTTATTTGGCTTCGTGTGGGGGCAGGAAACGACAGTAAGAGAGCACAGCACAGAACCCCCCTGCACAGACGCCCTGTGACAAACCCCTCCCGGCTTGCCGCAAAGTGGCACGCAGTGCTTTTTTTTTTTAACAAACGAATCGATGAACTGACGATGGGAGGTCTCCGTACTTTTTCACAACCAAATTTGCGGCCAAACAAAAGCCTCGGTTTGCGGAGTTCATTTCATCAATTCGAGCCCACTTAGAGACGGCAACATTGTAGCCTCGGTTATTAAATCGTCGAGTGTAGGGGTGCGCAAATTCCCCTACCCCTCTCCCACGTATCACGAGGCCAGCCAATGAGTGAACTGAGTAAATATCTTCATACACACAACAGATGATGTGTCAGGCAATATGTATTCTTGGCAACCAGGCGGAAAGGCCACCACGGCCGCTTCTGTAGGGCAGTGTTTTTTTTACAAATGTCGTTCTCTGTGCTTGTGAACAACTGCCGATTCGGTGTCACTCAAATGCGTTCGGTTTTCACGAGCAACCCGCACGTTCTTTGGACGTGACCGTCCATCACTTCTGGGTGCCGCGGTGGCGAGACGTTAGCTCCCTCGCCTTGTACGCAGGAGGTCGTGAGTTCGATCCTGACCCCTGACACCTGCTGTATATTTGGAATTTGCGTGTGGCAAAATGTTAACTACCTCGCCTGGTATACTGGAGGTGGTGTGTTTGATCCCGACCCCTGACGTCTGCTGTATATTTGGAGTTTGCGTTTTCTCTCTCTCTCTCTCCCCGTTGTCATGTGGATTTTTCTCCGGGTCCTCTGGTTTTTCCCTCCACATTTAGAAACATGAGTTTAAGAGTATTCGACTGCTATACATTTCCACATGATAAGCCACTTTGCTGAGCTATCATCCGTGGTTAGGTCGCTTCTGAAAAATAGCTACGTAGCTCAGTTTTAGTTTTTATTCTGCTGTTCCCAGTCAGCCAGCAAAAGTTTAATCCGATACATAGCTCCTTCTCTGTACTGTATAATCCCAATACAGTAGAACCTTGGAGACAGAACGCACCAGAACTCGAACAAATCGGTGCTCGATCGATATTCCCGACACATTTTTTTGCCCCGGGAAACCGAACGAAATTCGGAGGTCGAACGGCCAATCGCGACTTGAAAGAACCGCATGAGAGGCAGAAACAAACCTCTTTAGATAAGTTCTTAGTCAGACAAGAGACTCGCAGTTAGTGGCAGACAAGAGGCACGGAAGAGAAAGGACCCCAGAAGGGCAGTTACCCGGCATTATTATGGAAGGGGACTCCCGTTACAAACAATAACACCACCACCACCTCCACCACCTCCTCAGCACCTTCCACTCAAGCCGTCAACTCTCCTTACTACAGGTAAAGTGAAGTTCAATGAAGTTCATTTATTGCATTTATTCCATTTATTCATTTATTCCATTTATTGTGTTTCTTGTTTTTTTGTACGATTCTATGCATGTAATTACTGTAAACTTCGTGTAAAAATGATTTATAATGAGAGATTTCTTGTGTCTGGAACCAATGAATGTCATTTACTTGAATTCTTATGGGGAAAATTAATTCGGTGTTCGAACAAATCGGTGTTCGAATGGCCTTCTAGAACGAATTAAGTCCGATCTTGAATTTCTCACTTTGTTTCTGTTTCTCAATTCCTCTGTTCCCTCTCCTCCCTCCACAGTATCTCACCAACTTGTCTGCCGCCTATCTTTCCCCCCTGCCTCTCTCCCTCTCTCTCTCTTTTTTACGATCAGAGGAAACAAGAAGATGCTCGGTGTAGTCGGCACTTTGCTTCGTTCATCATTTCGGTTTTTTGTGTTTCTTTTCTTCAATGCTTTGCTTCACTCTCACGCTCTCTCTCCCTCGACCTCTCCCCCTCTGCCTCTCACCCTCGCTATTATTATTATTCCCACCTCTCCCTTTGTCATCTCAATTTCTCTTGCCTCTTCCCAATCCTCTCTCCCACCGTTTGTCACTGTCCCTCACTCTCTCTCTCCCTTTCATCTTTTTTCCTGGATTTTTCTGTTTGCGCGTAGTCACTTTAAGATGTTTTTCTTTTGATTTAAAGCTTTCGTGACTGCAGGAATTCATATTCTTGGATTCATATTCTTGTTTTATATTTTTATTATTTTATCGTTTCCCTTCTACGTGACTTTACCGACAGAACCAAGAATATGTTTTTCTTGTTCATGTTTTTTTGTTTGTTGCGGTTGCACCCGATTCAAGAGCCGAATGGCTCACAGGGCTATAACAAATTAAATGAAACTGAAAAAAAACTGAATCTCTGTTCCATGTCCTTTCACTCTCTACCCACCCATTCCCTCCCTGACCTCCATTTATCTCCCTCCCTCACCTCTCCCAATCTCCTTCTTTCTATCTCCCTCCCTGACCTCTCTCCTCTATCTCCCTCACCTCCCTCTCTCTATCTCTCTCCTATCTTGCACTTGCGTGGGATCCACGGCCAGGGTGGAGGGTGGGGGTGGGGGTGACGTGGGCGTGACGTCAACGTGACGTGAGCGTGACGCACGAACCAGGCTCAAGGCTGTGGGATGAGGGTGAGGTCATCATGCAAATGTGCACGGTGGCATCACTGGTACGCTGCACCCAGGCAGACAGGAATCCACCCAGGTATGATTAATGACCATGTTTGGTCTTCCTCAGCGCACTGCTACGATTTATTCGGACCAGTTCATTTCGCCTGATCATCACGAGGCACGCTTTGGTCCTTTGTCGTTGTGGAGTCATCCTCCACGTGGTCAACGTCGACTCACGTAAAAAAAAAATACAAATCGAAGAAGAAGAAGAAGAAGAAGAAAAAAAAACGCCTTGCAAATATTTCCGTCGCTTCATTTCGTACCGCGAACTTGACAACGGCTGGAGCCGCGGGTAGGCACCACCACGGCTACACCCTTCAGAAACAAGGCCGCCCGTACCGTGTCGCTTTACAGGAGTCGCTGTTGGATTCTTGGGGGGTATCAGTCGCACCTGGACACCGGTGAGCGATGAAACTTTGGTGGTTCGGAGTAGCCGTTTGCTGTCTCTTGCTCTCTGTTCCTCTTCCTCCTCCTATTGCTCAATCCTCGCTGTCGCTCTCTATATATCTCCCTCCCCCCACCCCCCTTTCACTGTAACAAACTTCCCACTCCACATTAAGCGGTCACCTTTTCTCACTAAGTGTCCGCTCCTCACTCAAAACTCACTTATTGTTCTATAGCTCACCTCACACACAACCCCCCACCCCCCTTAATCTCACCCTCATAACCACCAACGCCGTTACTGTTCCCGCTTAATTTTCTTATTATATGGCTTACACTCATTCCCCATTCATTCCACCCATCATCATTCACTGTCATGCGTTTCGCTTTCACACAATTCACGCGATCGTCACAGATTCGCCCCCCCATTGCTTCCTCCCTCATCTATTCCATTCTCCTCGTCTCCACCGTTACCCCTTCACACACGCGTCGTCATACCGCTGCTCGTCCTTTGCAACGTGCCTTGGTTTGAGCTTATCTTCCGTTAAAATAAGATAAAGCATCAGGAGGGGCCGAGGGTCTCGACTTTTTCGACCGCCCTGTGCAACCTTAAAAGGCCGTCCGGCGAGTCGCGCCAGGAATTGGCAGGCGCAGTCGAATCTTTTCAGTCAAAATTAAAAAGCCTATATGTTGCTTGCACAGCTTTACAACTACTGAAGAAGACTGATCAGCCAATGGTATATACATATTTTTTTTATTGTCAGAGTTTTTTTTTTATTGAAATGTTCCCTGGCATGCTTTGCATGGAGACATCGCTTTACGGTATATATATATGTGTGTGTGATAAATAAATATATATAGGGCGCCAAGGTGGAAAGATGTTAACTCTCCCGCCTGGTACGCAGGTCGTGCGTTCCATCCCGACCCTGACGCCTGCATATTTGGAGTTTGCATGTTCTCCCTGCGATCGCATGGATCTTTCTCCGGGGGGTCCTCCGGTTTCCCACCCCCCCCCCCCCACTCTTAGGATCAACGTGCATTCAGAGTACCCAGCTGTTAGAAATTTCCACGCGATAAGCCACTTCGTAAAGCTATCATTGTTCGATGCTGGCCATCGAACAAAGGCGGTCACCGCATCGCGCAGCGCTTTCAGACGCGCTTCTGCGTCCGTCTGGAACGCTCTCTTCCTCCCGACTTTAGGAAGCCACTGGAGCTGTGCACTTTTAAATAATCTAGATTGAAAACTCATTTCTTTAGGACTGCTTCTTGTTTTTAGTTTGTTGTCCTTCCCCCCGCGCACACTCCGATGAGCACGGTTGGCGAAGTACAGTGGCGCGAAAGAGTTTCAACACGCATTCCATTTGTGGCTAGGCCGCTTCTGAAACAGAACTACTACTTAGCTCGGTGAGCCTTACCTGGCAGACAAAGAAAATAAACCCGGCAGTAATAGATTCATCTCGTCCATACGGTGTTCCAACAACCACACGCTGCGGGTCGGAAACACTTTCTCCTCATGCGATGCTTCCCCGCGCACTCTCTGACCGCGATTCAAACGCACGCAAGGCATGAACGCGTCGAGCAACGCCACATCCTCAGCGGGGGCCGTCCGTCGCCGGCCGCTCGGCGTTTTTTGCAGCCTCGAGAAATGAAAAGTGAAAGAAGGCAGGAAAAAAAACCTCGCATCGCCGACGCTGCCGCTTACCCTGCGAGCTCTTGGGCGAGTGCCGCGGTGACTCTGGCCGCGGCGCCACGTGCTGCACCGGCCGCGCCTGCTTGGCAGCGAGCTTGCGCAGGCCCTGACGACGCTTCTCGAACATGTCCCTCACCTCCGTCACCTTCCGGTGGAGCACCTCCACGCGCTCCTGCAAACCGGTGGTTGGGGGTGGGTGGTTGGGGGGGGGTGGGGAGGAGGTGCAGAACGTCGGCCGAGTCGATCGAGCTCAGCTTCGTCGTCGCCGCTGTCGCAAACTATCATTGGGGCACCATCATTTTTGTCAGTGTCTTTCGTTTTTTTGTTTATTCGTTCTCGTGGCAATATGCTCAGGAGCAAAGGGGGGCCAATGTTGAGGTCTGCTCGCCCACGAGAGGCATTCAGGAGAGCGTTTGCGTAGCGTTGCTCATCCTCCTCCTCCGTTGAAAAAAACGCGTGCGTGTGCGTTAAATTTCCTTCGCGACCGTACGTAGCCAACCGTGCTAATCGGAGGTGCGGGGGACAGGACACTCATTGGGATATTGGGGATCTGGAATGAGATTCAGGATTAGGATTGTGAATCGGGTTTACAGGTTTTGAATTTCACAATAACATCTACGTGTGCGGTTACAAAAAAAGCACTCCATTTTATTACGTTCAGAATGGCACAATTAGGCTGACAGTCAATATCTGCGTTCGGGTATTCTGTACGCACGTTGAACTCCTCTCGCACCACACGCCGGCGAACAGCGGGGAAGGACAACAAACTAAACACGAGAACCGTTAGGGTAAAGGTGCAGCCCTGAAATAGTTTCTCAGAGTCACTGTCGGTGGAAGGGCCTCCGCCAGAGACAGCTGTGGTGAGCCACTCGGCTGGATACTTTGGTTTAACCTTCCACGCTTGCCCAGAACATCTTGGAAGAGGTAGAAATACCCACACATGCCCCCCGCCGCTCACAACTCGTGGGAGGGGGCAAAGGTGGGGTGCATTGGCCAGACTTGGCCATTGTTTTAATCGGGAGATTAGATCGAACTTGCGAGACCTTCAGTGCCGGGTGAAGCTATTGCGGGGCCTGTAGCGTATGTTATAAAGGAGCCCTAAATAAAAAAAACAGAAATATTCAAACACAATTGTTTTACTTGCATAGTAAAGTAATTGTATTTTTTCATTTGCTATACAGCCAGATAATACGATACATCGCTAACCTTAAACACCCAGTCGTTCATAAAAGTTGAAGGCGGTAAAGATAGTACTTTCGTAATAGAGCAAGTGCAGAATCACTGAACCGGAATTGATGGCTTGAAAGCATTTAGCACGGGGCCGTTGAAAGTGCGGCGCCCATAGCATATGTAGTAGCTACTTTTGCCACTACGATAATCCGGCACTGGACACCTTGTGCGCCAATCCTCACATTAGAACAACATCCCCACGACTTTCAACATCATAAACAACACCATAACCTTTGAGAGACACGCAGCCGCCCGTCAATCTTTCACCACGACAGAGACTGCATAGCTTGACCGTTAAGCAGTTGGTGGGTAAAGGGCAGCGGGGGGTTGGATGGGGCGAGGTGTGGCGGGGGTGGGGCGGGGCAGTAAATGCGCCTGACACGCGTCGCCCCCGTGCGGGACTCACGGAGAGGTCGGAGGTCAGGATGGCGTCGAAGGGCGACGTGTCGCCCAGCTGGTGTTCGTGCGACGACTCGAGGAAGGCGTGGATCTCGGCTAGGGCCGCCTCGGCCCCTTCCTGGGACTGGCAGCGGTCCACGGGCTGCGAGGCGAGGAGGTACACCCCCCGCTCGCACCACGCCATCGCCTGGGCCGCGCGGAGGTCGGGCGGCCCGGTTAGACAGGTCCATCGGTCGAGCAGTGAGCTCGTCAATGAGTGAGTCCGTCATTCAATCGGTGGTTCATTCAATCAGTATATATTCTGGCCAATGTCTATCCTCTTGGGGTTTTCCCCCAATTCCCTATCTCCCTTTTTACACCTTTCTTGCCAGTGCCCTTATTTAATTATTTCCGTGTCCCCCTTGCGTGACCCCCAACACATTACACATTACACTTGTTACAAATTAATCACAATACCTTGCTGATCGCGTCAAGGAGCATGCATTTCGGTCATCCTCGCAGCGGCTTTGGACTGGCCATCGAACAAAGACGGTCACCGCATCGTGCAGCTCTCAGATGCGCTTCTGCGGCTGTCTGGAACGCTCTTCCTTCCGACTTTAGGAAGCCACTGGAGCTATGTACTTTTAAATCTAGATTGAAAACTCATTTCTTTAGAACTGCTTTTTGTGTTTAGTTTGTTATCCTTCCCCCGCACCTCCGATTAGCACGGTTGGCTATGTACGGTGCAAAATAATTTTAACAAACATACATACATATCAGTTGTTTGATCAAGCAGTTAAATCGCTATTTACGATTAATTAATATTATATGGCAATTATAGAGTGAAACCTCTCAGATCTGAACTCGAACAATCTGGCTATTGGCATGTGGGCAGACCTTTCTGCTTCTCATCGACCGGACAAAATTCGTCCATTGAATTGCATCGAGTTAATTCATCACGTCAGCGTTTATTAACGCTCCCTAAGATTAAATGCCTCAATGCAAGTAGCTCTGCCTGCTTGTAGCATGGAAGCACAATGAATCTCGTAAAGGTTACCCAATCAGAACAAAACGTTTGTACTGAGTTTGAGTTATTCCACTTAGGGAGTTTCGATGGAGAAAACCAGCGACACCAGTTCGCAAATGCAATTTTGCACAGACAGCTATCCATCGTTCTTCCAACTGCTAATTAAACAACGCATGTTCGACAGCGTTGCATAATCCACGCGGTGACGATTTGGTGATCACTGTTACATTGCTTTTATCGCTTTATTTTGGTGATTTCAAAAAGTTTTTTGGTTTGGCCATGTTTGTTTGTTGTAGTACGGAGTTAGACTGATGGCTTTAATCTAAGTTGTCTAGTGGTTGTTGTTGTTGTTGTTTGACTTGCATCTTACTGGGATTTTTGCACACAGCGTTGGTATACAGAGCTTTTTCTGGAAGTTTTTGCGCGTAGTCACTTTAAAATGTTTTTCTTGTTCATGTTTTTGTTTTTTGTTTGTTGCGGTTGCACCCGATTCAAGAGCCGAATGGCTCACAGGGCTATACCAAAATAAATGAAACTGAAAACTGGTAACTACCTCGCTTGGCATACAGGAGGTCGTGGGTTTGATGCCGACCCTGATGCCTGTATATATTTAAAGTGGTCGTGTAGATTTTTTTGTCCGGGTCCTCCGGTTTTTATCCTCCACGTTTAGAATGCATTTAGAGTATTCGGCCGACATACATTTTCACGCGACGATAAGCCGATTGATTGAGCCGTAATTTGTGATGGGCCAGGTCGCTTCTGAAAAGTAGCTACGCAGCTCAGTGGGCCTTAGCTACCGGTACGATAAAAAATAGTTGATAGTTTTAACATATTTGGAGTTTGCATGTTCTCCTTGTGGCCGCATGGACTTTTCTACGATTTTTTTTTGCTCTCTCCACATTTAGAAACTATACAAACGACCCCTGAAAGCATAGCCTTTGCCCCTCCACATTTATAATCGACGCGCCTTTAGAGTATTCGGCTGCTACAAATTCCCACCGCGACGATAAGCCGATGCGTCGAGCCGCCATTTGTGACGGGCCAGGTCGCTTCTGAAAAATATCTACGCAGCGCAGTGGGGCCCTGAACTGGTCAGAGTAACCACGCGTTTCAGTTTGTTGCCGCTGTTGCCGCCGCCGCCGCCGCTGCTGCTGTTGCGTAGGCGAGCGTCACCTTCTCGAGCCTCTTCTCCAGCTCGAGCGAGAGGCCGAGCGAGCGGCTCTTGCGCTCGTGACCCTCGGTGAACTCCAGCGAGAGGCGCTGCAGCTCCTGGCAGGGCAGCGCGAGGGCGTCCTCCGCGAAGAGGTTGTCCGCCTCGATGAGCTCCTCCCCTCGCGAGGCGAGCGTAGCCGCCTTGCCCAGCCACTCCTGCGCAGCGGGGGGTGGTCGAGAGGGGGGAGCGGTAACGCAGCGGTCGGCGCCCGGAGTTTACGAAACCCCGGGGGGGCGTTCTTTTTTTTTCTCTCTCTCTCTCTCTCTCCCTCTCTCCCTCTGTCGCTGCGAAGCGCTAGCGTCGGCGCCGTGCCGCCGCCGGATGACGGTGACGATGCTGGCCCCGCGCGGGAAGTTGTGGTGACGATACGCGGGGTGCATGCACTGCGGATCAGCTGGTGTGCGCGCGTGTGTGTGTGTGTGTGCGTGCGCGTATCTGTGTGGGTATCGGTGGGGGAGCGGTAGTGTGGCGGTCAGCGCGCTGCGTCACGAACCCGGCGACCCGAGTTCGATACCCCCGCTCACGGCCAACACCACCGGCAATTATTTGAACCGGTCCAGAGCCTCCCCTAGGTCGACTCGGCCTCAAATGAGTGCCTGGTACGATGTGTAAACATCGCCACTGGAGAGACAAAGGCCGCCGGGCGTGGTGCTGGCCACCCAACCCCCTCGTGTGCCGTGCCGGCCTTTATAGGTGCTGCTCGCTAACAGCACTTGCCCCAACCGTCTGTTGAGGCTATAAGGGGGATCTTTTGCCTTTTGGAGCAGTAGCAGCCACTCTACGAACTCAAAGACCTGAGTTCGATCGTCACTCACGGCCGACATTCCGGTGGAGTTCACAAATAACAGTCACGACCTCATTTAGCCAAATGAGACACCGCACGAGTTGTCGCTTGAAACTGCGTCAAGCATCATCAGGTCAGAAAAGCAGAAAATCAGGATGACCTCACCCCCCACTCCCTCACTGAGTTTTGTGTACGCCCCCTCTTTAACCAAGGTCACTCTGCTAACCAAGGTCGCTCTGTTAATCAAGGTTACTTTCTTAACCAAGATTGCTCTTGTAACCAGAGTTCGCTCTGTCAACCAAAGTTGCTTTGTTAACCAAAGTCGCTCTGCTAACCAAGTTCACTATGTTAATCAAGGTCACTCTTGTAACCAAGGTCGCTTTGTTAACCAAAGTCGTTCTGCTAACCAAAGTCGCTCTGCTAATCAAGGTCACTTTGTTAACTAAAGGTCGCTCTGCTAACCAAGGTCACTCTGTTAACTAAAGGTCACTCTGCTAACCAAGATCACTCTGTTAACTAAAGGTCGCTCTGCTAACTAAAGTCATTCTGCTAACCAAGGTCACTCTGTTAACTAAAGGTCGCTCTGCTAACCAAGGTCACTCTGTTAACTAAAGGTCGCTCTGCTAACTAAAGTCATTCTGCTAACCAAGGTCACTCTGTTAACTAAAGGTCACTCTGCTAACCAAGGTCACTCTGTTAACTAAAGGTTGCTCTGCTAACCAAGGTCACTCTGCTAACCAAGGTAACTCTGCTAACCAAGGTCACTCTGCTAACTAAAGGTCGCTCTGCTAACCAAGGTCGCTCTGCTAACCAAGGTTGCTCTGCTAACCAAGGTCACTCTGTTAACTAAAGGTCGCTCTGCTAACCAAGGTTGCTCTGCCAACCAAGGTCGCTTTGCTAACCAAGGTAACTCTGTTAACTAAAGGTCACTCTGCTAACCAAGGTCACTCTGCTAACCAAGGTCGCTCTGCTAACCAAGGTAACTCTGCTAACCAAGGTCACTCTGCTAACTAAAGGTCGCTTTGCTAACCAAGGTCACTCTGTTAACTAAAGGTCGCTCTGTTAACCAAGGTCATTCTGTCAACTAAAGGTTGCTCTGCTAACTAAAGGTCGCTCTGCTAACCAAGGTTGCTCTGCTAACCAAGGTCGCTCTGCTAACTAAAGGTCGCTCTGTTAACTAAAGGTTGCTCTGCTAACTAAAGGTTGCTTTGCTAACCAAGGTCATTCTGTTAACTAAAGGTCGCTCTGCTAACCAAGGTCACTCTGCTAACTAAAGGTCACTCTGCTAACCAAGGTCGCTCTGCTAACCAAGGTCACTCTGTTAACTAAAAGTTGCTCTGCTAACCAAGGTCACTCTGCTAACCAAGGTCACTCTGCTAACCAAGGTCACTCTGTTAACTAAAGGTCGCTCTGCTAACCAAGGTCGCTCTGCTAACCAAGGTCGCTCTGCTAACCAAGGTCACTCTGTTAACTAAAAGTTGCTCTGCTAACCAAGGTCACTCTGCTAACCAAGGTCACTCTGCTAACCAAGGTCACTCTGTTAACTAAAGGTCACTCTGCTAACCAAGGTAACTCTGCTAACCAAGGTCACTCTGCTAACCAAGATGACTCTGCTGACCAAGGTTTCTCTGCTAACCATGGTCGCTCTGCTAACCAAGGTAGCTCTGCTAACCAAGGTCGCTCTGCTAACCAAGGTCATTCTGTTAACTAAAGGTCGCTCTGCTAACCAAGGTGACTCTGCTAACCAAGGTCTCTCTGCTAACCAAGGTCGCTCTGCTAACCAAGGTCACTCCGCGCGCTCCCCAGGAGCCACAGGACCCCCAGGCAGTCCACCGCCGCCACTCCAACTTCTCACCTGGCCGCGCTGCTGCAGCGACGCGAGCTCCCGGAGGACTCTCTCGGCGTGCGAGCGACTCTCGGCCAGGTCGGGCACCTCGGCCAGTCGGTGCGTGAGCTCGCCCAGCGCCACTGCCACCTGCAAGCCAGAGGTCACAGTCAATTGGACAATGGAAAAAGGCAATAAAAGGGATGAAGTAATTTGACTTGCTTAGGCAATGCAATGCCGAGGCTCTGCCACCTGCCCGGCACGCACGCGCAATCCCTAGCCCTCTCCCGGTGGCAAGATGTTAACTACCTCGCCCGGTATACAGGAAGTTGTGGGTTCAACCCCGACGCCTGCTGTATATTTGGAGTTTGCGTGTCTCCTCTCTCTCCGTGGTCGCGTGGATTTTTCACCAGGTCGTTGCAGAGGTTCGCGGTTCGGATCCAGCGAACCACCCTGATTAATACCGCAGTGCGTAATTAACCATGAGGAAAATATACCAGGCGCCGTCCGCCTCACAGTGGATGTTAAAGATCCCGCGATGTAATTCGCAAGAGTTGGACACTGCGTGCCCGACGTCATGGCCAAAATGTAGTCAACATTTCTTTCAAATTACCCGCGAAGTTATTCAATTTGGAATTATAAGAACACCGTTTGGGACTAGGCTCAAAAGAAAGCTGTCTCTGGTGTGGACCAATCAGTTTCAAAGACAATGCATCATATTATCAGAGTAATGTTTTTTTGTTTGCATTCTGACCACAAGTATTGTGGTTAATGCAGACATGATTCCTTGTAAAAGGTTTCAGTTTGGTGTTTTGACATCTTAACACAGCTGTTTTGTTGCCAGAAAAAAGGGGAAAACCTATTCTCATATTTTGGTACTGGCATAGGAGGTCCCATTATGTTACGAGATAAACTAATGTAAAATTTTGATTTAAAGCTTTCATGACTGCAGTGATTCATATTCTTGGTTCTTTTGGTAAAGTCACGTTGAAGGGAAACAATAAAATAATAACATATATAAAACAATAAAATTCTCACGACATTTCGACTGTAACACAAACAGTCATCATCAGGTGTGAAAACCAACGGCAAGAAACATTTGAAAGAAGTGGCGGTTTTCACACCTGATGATGACTGTTTGTGTTACAGTCGAAACGTCGTGAGAATTTTATTGTTTTATATATATGTTATTATTTTATTGTTTCCCTTCAACGTGACTTTACCGAAAGAACCAAAAATAAAAAAACTAATGTTACTTTAATATTTATTTTTACTTACTTTATGTTGATTGTAACCAGTTTTTTTTATTATGATGACGTTCACGTATTTAACATCTTGTGTTTTTTTAACGTATTTACTTAAGGTAATTCATTAATTTAAAAAAATACAATTTTCGTCGGGCCAATATCTCCGGAACGGGCCCCCCCCCCCCCCCTTTGCGGACGCACCTCGGTGAATTCCTCCTGGAAGTGCCTGATGTCCAGGCACTGCTGCAGTTTCAGGTGATGCTTCTCCCAGAACTCATCGAAGGCAGCCTCCGTCTCGTACAGCTGGGTCAGCAGCCTGCGGGGGAACACACCGACGGCATCGGGGTTACCCACAGAACGCTCGGGCTCATTCACGGGGTGGGGGTGCCCCGGTGTAGTGATCTTTCCTCACAAGGTACACCCCCCCCCCCCCCCAGTTATTTCCACAGAGACCCAACGTTGCCTTTTATCGTCACTTATATATTTGCTTTTCGAACATTATATATATACAGGGACTCCTCTACTTACGAGCATTCGACTTACGAACTTTCAGGGATCGGAACAAACCCTGGGTCCCTATGTCCAGTTTCCTGTTCGGACCGAGAGTCGTAAGATCAACCGCCGCGCAATAGATGGCGGTGGTGGCATCTACATCTGCAGAACGTGAAGAACCAGTGGCATCTACATCTGCAGAACGTGAAGAACCAGTGGCATCTACATCTGCAGAACATGAAGAACCAGTGGCATCTACATCTACAGAACGTGAAGAACCAGTGGCATCTACATCTGCAGAACCTGAAGAACCAGTGGCATCTACATCTGCAGAACGTGAAGAACCAGTGGCTTCGACATCTGCAGAACGTGAAGAACCAGTGGCATCTACATCTGCAGAACATGAAGAACCATTGGCGTCTACATCTGCAGAACGTGAAGAACCAGTGGCATCTACATCTGCAGAACGTGAAGAACCGGTGACATCTACATCTGCAGAACATGAAGAACCATTGGCATCTACATCTGCAGAACGTGAAGAACCAGTGGCACCTACATCTGCAGAACGTCAAGAACCAGTGGCATCTACATCTACAGGAGATTTTACAACTATTAAAGCCATTCCCCATGTTTAGTGTCCATGCCGTACAACGTGTTTGCAATCGACATGGAGTAAAGTTGGACTTACAAACAAATCGACTTCCGAGCAGACCTCTGGAACCTAACTCGTTCGTAATTAGAGGAGTCTCTGTAATCTAAACAATCTAAATGTACGGGAGTTTTTTGGGGGGGTGTTGACATTCCGCTATTGGGCCAACGTGCGTACAGTAGAAGCCATCTTAACGACGGTAATTGGTTCCACGAATCTGGTCGTTAAGTGATTTGGTCGTTAAGTAAGTATAGGACATACACATTAAAGACTTCATTCATTCCGATAGCATCGAAAGTTTCCCTTTTTCACCCAAAAACGTACTTATAATATCGACGGGAGTAAAGTTATGAACAGTTCATAGTTCATTTCAGTTCATAGTTCATTTCATAGTTCATTTATTTTGGTATAGCCCTGTGAGCCATTCGGCTCTTGAATCGGGTGCAACCGCAACAAACAAAAACATGAACAAGAAAACATCTTAAAGTGACCATGTGTGACTGTGCAAACAGAAAATCCAGGAAAAAAAACATCAAAATATTCCTGAAATAGCACCGTACACCAACGCTGTGTGCAAAAATCCCAGTGGGATGCAAGTCAAATAACAACAACAACAACAAGACCTCTGGAATCTAACTCTTTCGTAAGTCGAGGAGTCCCTGTATGTGTATATATATCACAAAAAAATCGGTATTGAAGAAACCACCGATAATCACATGCCACCTCCTGGAAAGCACGTCCTAACGCCGCCACAGGTGCCATGCGGTAGGGAACCAAGCCCGCACGGCACCAGAGCGTAAGGTTTCTGTGCAGCGCGGAGACACGGCGCACTACTCGGCATTGCATCATGGGGGGATATCTGACCATACTTCGCTACCATGGTCAGCGCAGGATGGTTAAGGTGGGAAGCATAAAACGAACCTTTTTTTATTTCACCAGGTAAGGCCCCACTGAGCTGTATATAGCTCTTTTTTCAGAATTGACCTGGTCACAATAACGGCTCAACGAAGCGGCTTATCACATGGACATTTATAGCAGCCAAATACTCTAAACGCGCGTTGACTCTAAATGTGGAGAGAAAAAAACGGAGAACCCGGAGAAAAATCCCCAAGGTCAAGGGGAAAACATGCAAACTCACAACATACAGGTGTCAGGGTCGAATCCACGACCTCCTGTACACCAGGCGGGGTAATTAACATCTCACCACCATGGCACCCCATATTAGCGAGTTCATATCCTGGTTGGGGGTTGACTCAGCTGATCATCCCTCCGGAGTTGATAAAACAAGTACCACTTTGTGCTCAAGGCAACAGTGGCCATCCTATGGATGGATAGACTCATCCCCCGCCATAGCAATGTGGCTGTGAGTAAAAGATGAGCACCGATGCCTCAATGCCCTCCTTGAGCATAAATCCCTTTAACTATATAAGCACAGTTCTGATATAAACAACAGCTGCTTACATTGCACACGGGTTAGGCGAGGGGGAGGGAGGAAGCAAAGGACAACTTCTTAACCTTCTCATAGAAGCACACTTCGGATATACGCACAGCTGGCCTTTCCTAAGGATAGCGGTGCATTTACAGGGCCCCTACTTAAATGCCTCAGCGGCTCGAACGCCTTACATCTCATCGTCGTCGTCGTCATCGTCGTCGTCACAATGCCTTGCTGCAGTCGAGCTAAGTGGCAGCTGGGCACTAGTCTGCCAGCAGGGGTTGCGATTTCCCCCGTCCAGCTTTGCCCCAATTCAGTGATTGTCAAGCGGTCTGACGACGATGCGGGCACACCAACCCTACTCTTCTTCTCGTGGCGTCCTGTGACGTGGCTGCTGCTGTGGCGCGGATGCCGCGCAGCGTCTGCGGGTAACGCAACCGCGGCATTGACCAGGGCGGCCGCCGGGCCCGAGCGAGCGGGGCACAGCCGTGCCGCCGGACGCGGCCGCGGGCGGGGAGGGGGCCGGCAAACCTCTGCACGGTGGAGATGTTCTCCGCGCGCTCCGAGTCGGAGTCTCCGCTCGAGTCGCTGTCGCTGCAGTCCTCGATCGAGGCCATGAGGCCGTTGCCCTCCTCCACAGCCATCTGCATCTCCTCCTGCGGCACGACGGTGGGGGCACGGGAGGAGAGCGGGTGGGGTCACGGGGTCAATAACAGGGGTCGCGTGGCAGTGCCACGGTGGCGAGATGTACATATTAGTATATAGGTATGCAGGGCAGTTCTGTGGACATGTAGTCTTGGCTATACGCTAAGCTGCTCCATCATCCCAGCCGTCTGTGAGCGTAAGGACTGGATGCCATGGTGAGGAGATGTTAACTACCTCGCTGGGTACGCAGGAGGTCGTGGGTTCGACCCTGACGCTAACGCCTGCTGTATATTTGTAGTTTGTGTGTCTCTCTCTCCTCATGGTCGCGTGGATGTATCTCCAGGCTGCAAGCCACTTAGTACGGTTATCATCTGCTGCCAGGTCGCTTCTGATTTTTCTGAATAACCATCAGAGTATCGTCAGCATTATCGCACGTTTCTCCCTTTCCAGTCGTTTTACGACCCCGCCGTTACGTTTTCTGTCCCAAAATCCTCGCGTCACGCTCCCTTTTTTTCCGCATCTCAGATCTGCCCCTTGCAAAACAGACGGTGTTTCAATGGGCTCCCGCACCTGCCTGTGAATATATTCACGTATGAATGTATAAAATGCAAGTGTTGGACATTGCCTGACTGCCAACGAGATGCGGAACGTCAACACCAGTCCAGAGTTTGCCTGCTGAAACAAATGCTACCTATTTCACTGATGGGCTGACACAATAAATTATTTTTTTTATGATCAGAGATACGCTCTTTTATGGGGAGAGATAAGCGGCCGTGTCTATTTGCGCGGTTCTTCATGTGCAGATATCAAAATGTACGTGCGGGCTTTTGAACTTCTCCCGCACTGCACGCAGCCAACCGTGCACCTCGAGAGGCACGGAAAAATAACTGCGTCCCTCCACAAGCAAAGCAACTGGGTGCCAATTCATCTGAAAGGGCCCGGAGAGAAATTTTCACCGGCGTCTACCGGCAGAGACAACTGCAACATCGGCAACAAAAACCTTGAGCTGGCAGCGTTTTCCGGCGTGGCCGCCCAGCAGGGCCCGAGTGCTCGGCACATCCTGGGGCAACTCCATCTCGGCCAGGTCGGCGCCAAACGTTTGCAGCAGCTGAGCAGTGGCCTTCACCGTGAGAGCAAAGTCCTCGATCGCCTGAACACCACGGTAGGGGGTGGGGAGGAGCACGCGGGGTGAGCACGCGGGGGGGGGGGGGGGGGGGTGGGTGGGTGGACTTGCGCCGACGCAAGGAGACGGCTAAAAGAGATAACCCGGCCAAGTTGGGGAGCTGCTGCCGATTTGGACTCGACACCAATTCCGGACCTTCATCCAACGGCGGACAACCGAAGGCTGCTGATGAATGATTATAATTGCCGGCAAAAGCCACGACACCTCCCGTGTTCTCCGGTTTATGAGATGCGCTTTTTTTTTTTTTCCCCCCCCTGTATCTATGAAGCAGAAAAGTTGTGGGTGCATAGGGAGACAAAGGTGGCCGGGCGTGGTGCTCGCCACGCGCCCCCTCGTGTGCCGTGCTGGCGGCCTTCGCAGGTGCGACTCGCTTACAGCACTTGCCCCAACAGTTCGTTAAGGCTATACAGGGGATCTTTATCATTGTCGTGGTAAGCGCTGCACTGCGCTGCGAACCCGGCAAGTTTCGTGCTCAGTCACTCATGGCCAACGTCGCTGACAAATTATCTGGACCGACCCTGAGCCATTTTTTTTTTTTGCATTCGGTAAAAACAACAATATTTCAATAGCCGGCAATGCATTGTGGTCAATGCGAGAGACGTTGGCGCTCCTTAATAAAAAAATATAACGTCACAAAACAGCAGCCCTTTAAAGAGCTCACACGCGGCTCCGGCAGCCGCGGGCTGCCGACCCCCTCCCTGCGTTAGGCAATCGGTTGGGTGGCACTTTCCAATGGCTGGGTGAAAAGTCCGGGTTTCTAAGTTTTTATATGTGTTGAGGTGCAACTGACGACGCAGATACGGTTCTTGAGTAGGGGCGGGTGCCAAAGTTTATTAAGGGCTACTGCCAGTAACTTATTAAAGGCTTATGCCTAACAGGTGACAACCCTAATATCTCCCCAGGGGAAATGGTACTGGGAGGTCCCTAGCTCCACCCAGGCTATACGTGATCTTCCCCCAGCACCGACCGAGGGATCATCAAACTCGGTCGGCCGGGTGAAGTATCACTCTAACCTGGCGCTGATTCCCCCTACCCTGGATCCCGACTCCCTCTCTCCATTCCTGGCCCTTCGTGATGACCCCCTCTACGTCACGGGTCCCCCCTTATATCCCCCGTAACCTCTGACGTCATCCATTCTCGCCCCCCTGAGTGACATGACGTCCTCCACTACTCGTCTACATTTGTATAGATTTTTTTTAATATCGCGACACAAAAACTCCGCGAGCGTGAAAAAACAATCCCGAGAACGCCGTGCCACGGGCTTAATGAGGGGGCTGGGAAAGGGTGGGGAGGCGGGGGGGCGGTGAAAGGTGCTTTGAAAGTGTCACTTGTTATCATTATTTACTTTATTGGAGAGCGGGTGGGGAGGTGCTGGGCACGGGAGGGAGTTACCCATAGTACAGTTTTTTTTGGGTTCGATCACGTAAATATACAAATGTGTCGTTAAACCCGCCGCCACCATTTATGTATTTACGCGATCTAACCCAAATAAAAACCTGCATTATGGATGACACCGGTCGCGAAAGCCTACGACAACGTGTTAAACGGAGGGAGTTACCGTTCGCTGCTGAACCCAGCGCCTGTGAGAGTACTCGCGCGTGCCGCCCAGCTCCGCACTCAGCTCCTCGCTGTCGATGTAATCGCACAGATCTGACACCGAGTTGAGCATGATGAGCTGCGACGCGATAAGAGCACACAAAAGCAGCGGAGTTAGTTGAAGACGAACCACACACACCCCCCCCCCCCCCCCCCCCCAACATCCCCCGTGCAGCCACTGCGGTCAAGGTATAATAATGCCGGTTCGAGGCCATCGGACGCAAATCTGTAACAAGGGTTGTGAAAGCCCCCACCGTGGAGCGAGCGAGATTTGCAACTCCGCTGGGAGACGGCGAGCGGTGGAATGAACGGAAGGCCCAATGCGGCATCGTGTTTGTTCGCGACGAGATTCGACTCGAATCCCATTCGCGCCGTTTAATCGCTCAAGAGACGTTTAACCCCCTTTAAAAGTAGAAAAAACATTCTTTTAGTTCCCGCCGCTCGCCGCCACCCAGCATGGTTGCAAATCTCTCGCCCCGCGGTGGAGGGAGGCTCTCGACGAAACGGGGGAAAACTCCACATTTTGAAGGCCGTTGTCCCGATAGCTTTGCCCACATTTTGGAAGCGTCTCTCTTGTCGTAGCCTCACCACCGAGTCTCCGGCCACGGACGCAGCCACTGACGGATGGGGCCGTGGATGTCCCGGACACGGTCAAAACACATATTCGGTTGCGGCAAATAGACTTCCCCAGTGCGTGTTTGTCTTTCTGTCTCATGCGTGTGGATAAGGGGCACCCACAAAATGCTCAGACGCGGATGTCGTACACTCGTAGAGCGCCTTGACTCAAGAGCCAAGGCGCTCTGTGTAGTTTAAAAGCGGGGTGCAAGAATCGAGTGGCTTAGATGGCAAGGGGTGGCATGCGGGGAAGGAATGAGCGACCGTAACAGAGGGCACCACGGGGGTCACGAAAAGGGCTACAGGGGAGGAACGGGAAATAAGCGGAGAAGAGGTTGGGTGTCTGAGAGATCATATCGAGAGTGTTGATTCTATGGGCAGTAGTGCTGAGTCTATGGTGCAGTGTTGAGTCTATCGGCAATGTTGAGTCTATGGGCAGTGTTCTGTCTATGGGCAGTGTTCTGTCTATGGGCAATGTTAGTCTATGGACAGTGTTGAGTCTATGGGCAGTGTTGAGTCTATGGGCAGTGCTGAGTCTATGGGCAGTGCTGAGTCTATGGGCAGTGCTGAGTCTATGGGCAGTGTTGAGTCTATGGGGCAGTGTTGAGTCTATGGGGCAGTGTTGATTCTATCGACAGTGTTGAGTCTATGGGCAGTGTTGAGTCTATGGTGCAGTGTTGAGTCTATGGGCAGTGTTGAGTCTATGGGTAGTGCTGAGTCTATGGGCAGTGCTGAGCCTATGGGCAGTGCTGAGTCTATGGGCAGTGTTGAGTCTATGGGGCAGTGTTGAGTCTATGGGCAGTGTTAGTCTATGGGCAGTTTTGAGTCTATGGGCAGTGTTAGTCTATGGGCAGTGCTGAGTCTATGGGCAGTGCCGCTTGAATGTACAGAGGAAGTTGATTCCAGTGGAGGGGTTGCAAGGAGGGAGAGAGATCGAACACGGGATTGGGCAGAGGGATGAGGAGGAACACAGTGAGGATTTGGGATTGAAGAGCACGGGGGGGGGGAGTGGGGTGGACATAAAAAGAGGTGAGAGAGGCGAGATGAGGTGTGGAAAGGCCATGGAGAGATGTACAGACGATGTGTCAAGTCCATAATAGAGGTTTTATGGGCTATATCGCGTAAATATAAAAATGTGTCATTAAACCCGCCACCACCCCGACACAGCCAAATAAGTAAGGTTTGTCATGGAAACAAAACATGCCAATTCGTCACTACTACAGCACGTCTTTGGTTTTTTCGGTAAATGTTGTGGCTTTGCTCTAAAACACACCTGTGTTATGGATGATATTGGTCGCAAAAGCCTACGCGTTCGATGTGTAAGGTATTTGCAAAGACAGCGGTGTAGTAAACGGGAAGCCAGTGAAGGTGCAGAGGCAAGGTGAGAGAATTAGAAAAGATACATCCACTTCATTTGAGATTATAAAACATATATATATATGAGTACGTGTTGTTCTCCATTCAACAATTGCTCCCTTCTCTCGACCAACACCATCTTTGTCCCGGGAAAGGTGACGTAGAAACCGATCGTGCTGATGGCAGAACCTTTAATCCGCAGCAGCAGCAGTAGCGCATAGGAAATCGGTTCAGCAGTCCCTAGCCAGTAGCTCAGTAAATGTAGTATCATTATCGTGCAGTTGAACGTCTCTTATCCGTGACGAAGTGGGGCTTCGAAAACAATTTTTTTTTTATTTTACAAGATAAGGTCCGCTGAGCTATAGAGCTATTTTTCAGAAGCGGCCTGGTCACGAATGACAGCGAAACTCGCTTCTGGCGAAAAATGAGAGCTAAACTAAGCGGCTTATGTGGAAATGTATAGCAGCTAAACAATCTAAACGCACGTTGATTCTAAATGTGGGGGGAAAAACCGGAGCGCCCGGAGAAAAATCCACGCGACCACGGGGAGAGAGACACCGCCCACACTCCAAATATACGGCAGGCGTCAGGTTCGGGATCGAACCCACCACCTCCTACATAGCAGGCGAGGTAGGGTGTTGAGGGGGAAATCCACTGATCCTGTCTGTAAAACCTCACAAACAAATGCCGGAGTGCGTGCTCTCGTCGGTCACCCACACCCATCAATCCTGAGGCTGTGGCCCAAAATGTCAACAGCGTCTCTGCAGCCCCCTGCCTCCAGCCCACCACAAACAAAGACAAAGATCACCCCGTATTGCCTTCAGCAGACCGATGGAGCGAGTGCCGCTAGCGAGCACCTACGAAGGCAGGACACCTTTGTCTCCCCAGTGGCGGATGGTTACGCACCGCACCGGGTACTCATTTCAGGCTGAGTCGACCTAGGGGATCCCCGGGACCGGTTCATATAATCGTCACTGGTGTGGGCCGTGAACCCATAGTGACGCCTAGTGGCTAGGAGCTGTAACTATCGCACGCACTTGGCTTTACCTTTGAATACCAACGCGAGAAAATGTGTTTGCCCGGTCTCCCGGTCAGATACAAGTGCAGTGTAGTACAACGACACTACTGTGTTGGCTCGGTATGGCGGCTGTAGGCGGGTGTCACGGAGGTCGTGAACCCAACAGGACACGTGACCGGATAAAGGGGGGGCCAGGGGTCCCAGGGGGGGGGGTCACGTGGTTGGGGGCTCGGGCCTTCCCGAAGGATCGGAAAGGGGGGCGTGGCCTGGGGCAGAGCCAGCCACGCCGGTGTGGTTTATAAGCGGGGTGTGGACGGAGAGCTGGGGGCTCTTCTGCTGCGTCAAGTCTGGGATGAAGCCACCATCTACGATCCTCGGTCTCCAGTCCAGTAATGTAGTAGTATCCCCGTGTGTTAGCTAAGTTATGAACCGTGGTTGCCACCACCCTATGCCGTTATCCTGTTAATATTAAGAGTAACCCGTTGTGTTTAGCTAATAAATAGTGTTGCCTCCAAAGTTCCAGTTCGTGCCTGAATTTAACCCACTACACAACCATTGCCCATGTTCGACCTTCGCCTCACTTGCGAGATCCAAATGAAATTCGAATGCCCCGGATTTCTTGTACGTGCGCTCAAATCACCCTAAACGGGAGCCACTGGTCAACCGACTGATTGAATGACTTGGAGAGTTTTACCGACTGATTGAAGTTAGTGGTCAAGTGACTGAGTGATTGAGTAAGAAACTGATTGCAAATGAGTCCATCCTGGTCTCTTTAGTTCTCAAATAAGCTAAACTTTAACTTGGATGGGAAAAAAAACGATTGACCGAGTTAGTGAGCGACTAATTGCAGTGACTGCTTAGCCAACTGAATGAATGACCGAGAGAGTGAGACATTGGTTGAAGTGAGTAGTTACCTGACCGAATGACTGAGTGAGTGGCTGATTAAATGCACCATTTAACTGAGCGATTGACTGATGGTATTTATGTTGAACTTCTTTCGCACCGTACGCAGCCAACCATGCTAATTTGAGGTGCGGTGTATGTGTGTTTGCATGTTAAACTTCTTTCACACCGTACGTAGCCAACCGTGCTAATTGGAGGTTTCGGTGTATGTGTGTTTGCATGTTGAACTTCTTTCACACCGTACGTAGCCAACCGTGCCAATCGGAGGTGCGGTGTATGTGTGTTTTACATCTTTAAATTATTTCACACTGTACGAAGCCAACCGTGCTAATCGGAGTTGCAGGGGAAGGACCACAAATTCAACACAAAAAGTAGTTCTAAAGAAATGAATTCTTCAATCCAGATGATTTAAAAGTGCATAGCTACAGTCACTTCCTATTATCGGAAGGAAGAGTGTTCCAGACGGCTGCAGAAGCACCTCTGAAAGCACGAGATGCGGTGACCGTCTTTGTTGGATGGCTAGCCAAAAGCCGCGGATTAACCAAGTTAAATGCTTTCCCCACACTTATTAACCCCGCCCCCCTCTGCTCTTCGCACCTGATTGGCTCACAAGTGACAACATCACATTTACCCAACTCTATTCAAGACCGAAACAGGAGGATTTACCCGAAAATTCTGGCTGTCGCCTAATGATACTGGCTGTAATTACCAGCGAAACGTCACGGGACTCGAATTGTAAATGTTGTGGATTTACTCTCCAACACACAACCGCTGTGCTGTACCAGTAGATAATTGGCACGTTCTGTTTACGTGACAACCCTTGCTAATTGGCTGTGTCGGGTGGTGGTGGGTTTAACAACACATTTATATTCACAGAATCTAACCCCCCCCCCCAAAAAAAAACCTCTATTGTGAGTTCAATGAGCAAGGCACTCAACTGGCAACACTTACCGGTACCTTCATTTTAAAGTCATCACGACTCAGCCGCACACCCAGCTCCGTGATGTGCCTCTGGAGGAACGCAGCTGGCCTCAGCACCAGCACGAGGCGCAGATCGGCGGGGAAGAATGTCTGTTGGAGTAGCAGCAACATCCACAACAGCAGTACCATCAGCATCAGTAGCATCGCCATCAGTAGCATCATCATCATGGATATTATCAGCAGCAGCACTTATAGTAAGCATCAGTATCATCACCATCAGCAACATCATCATGGACATTTTCAGCAGCAGCACCTCAGCATCAGTAGCATCACCATCAGCAACATCATCATGGACATTTTCAGCAGCAGCACCATCAGCATCAAGGACATCACCATCAGCAGCAGCAGCAACGAGAGCAGCAGCAGCATCATCATCAGTAGCAATCTTTATTTTTACTGGCCAATATCGCCCTCAATAAAGTCGACATCAGTGCACATAACAACGGAACAGGCACGGTACAGGGGCACAGAGCGACAATAGGTTGTGGTGGAGACAGTACGCAATATAATACTTTTGATGATTTTTGACGGTAACGAAAGTAATGATATTGTTTAGTTTTATATGGTGGTGTCGTTCAAGCAAATGAACGAGTGTTTACATGGGGGTGGAAACCGGAGGGCCACGAGAAAACACATGCGCGTGCGAAGGGGCAACGCTCGATCTCACGAAGGACGACAGCCCGTAGCTTTGCTGTACCGCCTTTTCCTCCCAAGCCGGCGTACGGCACCTCAATGCCCACGGCAAGGGAGTTAAAAAAAAAACGAAATTATGGAGTTCTGCAACATTCGTGTGCAGTGCCGGATGAAGCGAGTGCGGGGCCTGTAGCATGATGTTATAAAGGGGCCCTAAAAAAAAAAACGTAATTATTAAAACACGTACATGTTTAACTTGCACAGTAAAGTAATTGTATTTTTTCATTTGCTATACAGCCAGATAATACGGCAAATCGCTAAACCTTAAACACCCAGTCGCTCGTAAAAGTTGAAGGCGGTATAGTACTAGAGTCATAGAGCAAGTGCAGAATCACTGAACCGGAATTGATAGCTTGAAAGCGTTTAGCGCGGGGCCCTTGATAATGCGGGGCCCGTAGCATATGTAGTAGCTACTTTTGCAACGAGGATAATCCGGCACTGTTCGTGTGATCCACCAACCTTCACCTCCGCAGTGCAGGCGTGCGCCACCCCCGGCCGGCTATTATTCTATGCCAATTGTTATTTTTAATGACGATCATGATGGCGATGATGGAGATGATTTTGATCGCAAGATTTTTCATCACCACGACGCAGCGACAACCCAAAGCCTCGACACCGTGAGTCTTGGGACCCTGTCGTCCTTGTGTTGGGTAGAACTGCTTTTTGTTTTCAGTTTGTTTGTCCTTCCCCCGAAAACCTCCCATTAGCCCGGTCGGCTACGTGCAGTGTGAAAAAAGTTCAACATACATATCACGGTCAGCTACATACGGTTTGAAAGAAGGTAAACGTACATGCGTAGCACGGTTGCCTACGCACAGTGCGAAAGAAGTCCAGCATACATACGTAGCACGGTCTGCTACGTACGGTGCGAAATAAGTTCAACACACGTACAAATTCATCACAGCGCCAGTGTCAAAACCCACCAAAGCCCTCCTCCTTAGCCCCTAGTCGTCCACCCCCCTCCGCCCCTTTACGCCCCCCCATTTAAATGTCTACAAAAGCACAAGGGGTTACGCGCACACGCGCAGCGAAATCCTCCCCGTGGCTGTGCGGGCAAAGCTCGGAGACCCGTGACCGCTGACGCGAGGCGATGTGAGCCTGCGGACGGCGGCCGGCGCCGTTTAGTATTCACGGCGCGTTCCTCCTCAAAGCGAATCGTCGTTGTCGACCGCACCGCCGGCCCCAAATTTACACAGAAGAGCCCGCAGTGGCTGTCGCGCGTCTATGTGTCAGTGTGTGTGTATATATATTTTTAGACGTTGGTTTAGTGGTGCATCAGCCACTCATCTCATCTCAGTCAGTCGACCCGTGTGCACCTGGGTCTGCCCCGTGACCTCCTGCCAGCGGGCGTTCGACACTTCACGTGGCCTCAAGGCGCACATGGCCTGGCGCAAGCGTCGTGGTGACGTCACCGCCACATAGTGGCGAATGGCGGTTGTTGTTGTTGTTGTACATATATAAGTAACAATTTTATTTGGCCAAATTCCAGCTCCGGCGGTGAAACGCATCGGGTTGGAAGTACTTCGGTGTGACGAATGTACACTCACTGGGACAGCGGGTTTCTCCAGTGCAAATACATATTCTGATTCTGGACGGGGATGGTGTTGCCTGCTGCTGTGTGGAACGGGGGTTGCTTGAAGGTCACTTGAATGGATTTCAGAGGCAGCTCTGTTAATATCCGCTTCTCTGGGCCATTCCCTGATTAAAAAAAAAACGAACGGTTCACCGCTTTGCAAGGGGTCCAAATGGATGAATCGTCTCATAACGTGGAGGACAATGTCCGTTGCATGAGAATCAAACCCAAATATTGATCTCTCAGAGCTGGAATGTAGGCAAATTAAGCCACAGAGACACATTCAACTCGATCAATTTTTGCGCGCGTTAATTTGTTGCTACGAGCATGAGGAACCCGGTTTATTCACAAGCGGCTGAAACCCAAATTCAACCCCATATTCTCAGAAGTGCCAGCTCAGCACCCTGACCGCTGAGGCCACCCGCCCACCTTATAATGCGTATTTTCCAAGTGGATGTAAAACTGGCAGAGAAACCCCACGCACACACACACACGTGAGGGGATACCACTAACGAACGAGAAAGCAAATCCGTGCGCGTAGCTTCCTGCTGTTATTACAAACGCGACCCGGATGACATGAACTCGCGTGTGATGTCCACAGAGGGCTCTCTCCTCTGTAACCCAGCGTCCGTGTGCTTCATTGCCGCTGCCGCTGCAGCGGCCATAACAAACCCAAATAGAAAACGCTGCAAGGGTTGTAGCTCAGCTGGGTGTCCCGGTGGGGGCCTGGCGGTGGGCCTCAGCGATGCGTTGCAGCGGAATCCGCCCGGTGCGATTCAATTGCCGACGCCAAGGCCCCTGCCCGCTGAGGCAAAACAAAAAAAAAAACAGCCTCCACAAAAAGCGGCACGCAGCCACAACGCAGCGGCATGGCTGGCGAGCGCGCAGGCGGTGCAACTGCACCAGCCCCCCACTCCCCCCCCCCCCACAGGCAACGTGGGCCCAGGTGCCATGGGTACGAAGAGCTTTGGGGGGTGCACCAGGGCCCAATCTAGGGGGTGCACCAGGGCCCATGTCAGTCTAGGGGTGCACCAGGGCCCACGTCAGTCTAGGGGTGCACCAGGGCCCAATCTTGGGGGTGCACCAGGGCCCACGTCAGTCTAGGTGGTGCACCAGGGCCCACGTCAGTCTAGGTGGTGCACCAGGGCCCAATCTTGGGGATGCACCAGGGCCCACGTCAGTCTAGGGGTGCACCAGGGCCCACGCATTGGGACTACAACTCCGGGAGAAATCGCTCTCGCGTATTGTTACAATAATGATGATGTACTGTATGTTGAACTTCTTTCGCACCACCGTACGTAGCCAAAACGTGGTAATCGGAAGTGCGGAGGATGGACAATAAACTAAACATAAAAAGCAGTAATAAAGGAATGAGTTTTCAACTTAGTATAGTAGTGGAGTATATAGTAATGTAGTGTATAGTGTAGTGTACCGAAGTATAGTGTATATTGCAATGCGTATTCTTTCGCACCGTGAAAAACCAACCGTGCTTATCAGAGGTGCGGGGGAAGGACAGCAAACTAAACACAAAAAGCCGTTCTAAAGAAATGAGTTTTCAATCTAGATTTAAAGTGGCATCGCTCCAGTGGCTTCCTGATATCTGAAGGAAGAACGTTCCAGATGGCCGCAGAAGAGCAACTGAAAGCGCGCGATGCAGTGACTGTCATTGTTCGATGGCTGGCCATGCATGTACATGAACTCATCATACCTACTATGATCACCCAGGAATGTTCAAAACGCTCGTGACGTCACTCCACATCGAGCAGCCCCCCTCATTAATACTCATGAGCACGTGACGTCACTCCACATGGAGCACCCTCCCCCCGCATTAATAATCACGAAGAGGTGACGTCTCCCAATTGGACACCCCCCCCCACCATTAATAATAGTTAGCGGGTGACGTCACTCCACATGGGGGGGGCGAGGCGCCTCCTCCCCCCTCCTCGGCGTCAACTTACAACCCTCACCACAAAGGCAGAACCCTCATCACGTGACGCGATCTCCATCACGCTGTTGAGACATCAGAGTAAAAAGGACGTTTAAATGAAATAGGTCTGCGTCACCGCGCACCTTACAAATTGCACACGCATCGATGCAGTGACTATCACGTCGCGGTCCGCTTATCGCTTGCACGTTTCAGATTTACTGCAATACACAAAAGGCTCGTGTCTACATAAACACACTGTGCATGTTGACGTTCTACACCCACAGAGAAGTGCACAAACTGCGTCGCGGGGGGGGGGGGGGGCGCGCCGGGGCGTTGTAGAACGTAGCTGGTCGCCAAATAGCGGCCAGTTGGGAATCTTTTGTACAAAGTCAAAATTAGCCAATCAATATCCTTTAAGTGTGTGACCACAGCAGGGCCCGTTGAGATTCATTTTCGCATTACCTCCGATGCAAAACTCCTGGGGAATGTGTTGATAAATTACGGATGGCTACTAATTAATAAACTTGAAATTCCCTTAAGGGTGATTTGTTTTTTTTTAAATAAGTTGTTAATTTGTGGTGTTGGAGACAAGCGGCACACAATGTGAGTGAGAGCAACGCAGACGTCTAAAACGTCCGGTTTACTTTGGTTTTGGTAGTAGGTATCGAACATTTGCCAACGCACACGACGCTGTTGTTGTTGTCGGAAATGAACAGGCAGCGAGCTGCTGTAGTAGGTATCGAACATTTGCCAACGCACACGACGCTGTCAAGCTGCGATGGCAGTGGTGTGCCAGCACAAATAACACGAACCCAACGCAATTCTGACTTTAAAGGGGGGAAAAAAGCTATCTTCATTTCAAGGGTTATAACCGTGAAAATAAACATTCAAATGGTC